GGAGGCTGGGGTGTTTGTGGGGCTCCTGATGGGCTGAACAGGGCCCCCTGTGCTTCCTGGGTGTGCGAGGGGTCTCTGGGGCCCTGTGGTTGCTTGGCCTGGGGTGTCCGTGAGGTTGGGAACAGGGTGTTGGTGGGGTTGGGTCCAGGCTGGTTGTGAGACACCCCCCAGGGTGCAGCTCAGCACGCCTGACCCCCATTCCCGCTGTGACGCTCCAGGTCTTCGTGCTGCTGTTCATCTTTGTGAAACGCCAGATCATGCGCTTCGCCATGAAGTCCCGCCGTGGCCCCCACGTGCCTGTTGGACAGCACGCACCCAAGGTGGGTGCATGTGGTCCCGCGGTGGGGACATGCCCTCCCTCCCCTGTGCCCACAGACCCGTCCATGCCCGGAGGGGCAGGCAGGGTCTGCTTCAAAATCAGACATTTCCAGGAGCTGCCACCTTGGTGTGGTGACGGGCAGTTGGAGAAGGAGCAGGTTTATTTCAGAGGGCCGTCAGGACTTGACTGTTACCATCCTTGTGATCCCATAAACAAAGTGAGTGCTCTGTAAATGTGGTTGTTTTTTTTCCTGCTGTGCAGGATTTAAAGGAAGAAATCGACATTCGACTGTCAAGGGTACAAGACATCAAGTACGAGCCCCGGCTGTTAGCTGAGGACGACAGCAGGCTTCTGCAGCTGGAGACGCAAGGTACCCTCTCTTGCTGCGCGTCGGTCGGAAGCCACCAGCGGCACGGTCCAGTGCTTGTCCCGCTGCAGCAGGTCGTTCCCCTGGGGCCAAGTTGTGTTGCTGGCCTGTCTTGTCAGCTGGCCTGTCGCAAAGTCACGTTTGGCGAGCCGACACAAGATGGTGTCTGTGCTCCTATCTGCTTTGCCCACCTCCCTCCTACTGCCAAGTTTTGCAGAGCTTTCAGTTTGGGTTTTCTCTTTGCCAGGCTGCTATAACTACCTGTACAGGATGAAGGCGCTGGATGCGATCAGAACGTCTGGTAAGGGAGCTCAGGGCGGGAGTGGAAGGCAAAGGGTGGAGAGAGACCATGTGTGGAAGAAATAAGGGTGCTGCACATCAGGCAGCAGCCTTGTGATAAGGCTCAAGGTCCTTGTTTGGGAAGAGCAGTCACTTGTCGTGCCCGGGGCTGGCAGCCTGAGGGTCGGCTCTACTCACCTGTTGGGAGCAGTCAGCAAATGGAGGTAGTAAATGTGATGGGAAGTTTAATTAGCTGCCAACTTCTGATGTTGTCTGCGGGTGAACACAAGCATTTTTACCCACGCATCAGCCGTTTGTGTTGTGCCTTTTTATCTTCCAGAAATCCCATTTCACACAGAGGGCCGGTACCCAAAGTCTTTAATAGGGAAGAACTTCTGTGCCTACCTGCTGGAACTGCGGAATTCCAGCACCTCCTTCAAAGGCATCCGCAAAGCCTTGATTGACACCTTGCTGGATGGGTACGAGAGTGCCCGCTACGGCACTGGGGTAAGCACTGGTGCTGCATTGCCCGGCCCCTGCATTAGCACAGGGGGCTGTTCCTGCGTTCCGGTCTGATGGCTGGACTGAGGTCATGCTCTAACCTCAGCTGGGTTTTCCGTGGTCTTTCCTGTTTGAATCCAGGTCTTTGGGAAACCGGAATATCTGAAATACCAGGATGCGCTGAACGAGCTGGCAAACATGTAAGTGTTACTGCCTGAGGGTGTAGCTGAGGTACAGTGGTGGCTTCTTGGGCCCTAGCAGCCCATCGTGGAGATGCGAACAGAGACAGGTTTGGGGGCAGAACCCAGCCTCTGAGACATGGGCTGTTTATGCCTGTCCGTCCTTCCAGGTTTACTTAACTCCTTGCAGCCCGTCTGTTAATGTGGTTTTGGGTTTGTTACTTGGTCACGGTCCACATTCCT